TGAGTGCCTAGCTTGACGCAGTCCAAACTCAAATCCCTGGAGGACTGAGCTCTCTCTTTTGTGTTAATGTTTAAAAGATTTTCCAGTGCCGGAGTTTATTCCTACTGCAAACATTTCTATTTACAAGGTCAAGTGTATCAGCACTCGACACAGCTTAAGAGTGTAATTATTTATCTAAGGGCGTTTGAGTGTAGATCAGTAGCTCTGGCAGCAAACCAGGCTTCAGCACGATGCAAAGCATCTCCTAAGCACAGTATTACAAGATCTAGTAATTGCTGATCCCTTCAGCGTGTTTACTTTTGCATTCTTCGTTGTGGGAGAAGGAAGGCTGAATAGCAAACTTTGCGTTTTGTTTCAGCTGCCTTGATGCGTGCGCCCCTGCCCGCGCGAAGCGAAGCCTTGTTCGAAACGCTCGCCGCCGCTGTGTGATGTATTTCTCACCACTTGATTGCACGCCTAGGAGCACTTCTACAAGTGCCAGCGAGAGCAGCGTGCCTGCACGAAGGAAGCGCGGTGCACTAGCAATTCTACGCGTATATATACAGGAGCAGTGTCCTTGAATTGCTTTACTCTCTTCTGCCACTGTCAAGTTACCATGCCAACGCATTATAAAATCAACCACTCATTTAAAGAAGTACTTTCAAAGCTGTATTTACTTCTTGCATGTAATTATCCATTAAAGTAAGAATAGCAGTAATTTACATCTATGTGAAGTATTACAGGCAGACACAGATTTTTGTTTTTTGACTGTTTTTTGGCTTGTTATTCTGTGGTTTGATCCCCGCCTCTCTTCCCCCACCCCCACATCTCGGGTGCTGAGAGTTCAAGTGTCCCTGGAAAACAATTTCACTGCATCCATTATTTAAAGCTCTTTCTTTACTAATTTACACGTTTAGAAAATACAAAAAAGCCATACATATTTAAAAGACAGGCCTTTTTTACGCCTTCTATAAAAAATACAAGGTTTAAGGCAGCTCAGAAATGCGTTTATACAATTCTAAAACGTTCATAAAGTCTCTCCAAATAAGAAAGTTAACTTTCAATCTGTAAAATACACTGTACATTTGATGTTCTAGAGAATACTTCACTTAATCACTGTTGCTGGTATCCCTTTAAACATAAAGTGAAATCTGTACCTTTCCAGAAACGAATAGCAAATGCAGCTACCTGGCAAATAGGATGTGGAATTAAAACTTTTTATTATTTTTTTAAATAAATTATCCCCAAAGCATACAATTTATAAAATTCTATATACAATGAAGAGCGACTGGTAACAAATCCCAGTTTTAAATACTTTTTTTTTTTATATAAGATTTACCAGAGGTCAGCACCCTGATATGACGAGGCAATAAAATTTTTCAGGATATTTGTACATACATGTTCTCGAGTTTAAAAGTGTCTTTCAAAGATGGCAGTGCAGAGCTCTTTTAAAACAAAAGTTGCATTGTTCAGTATAGCCAACAACTCCGAAACAATTTTTTTTTAATGTCGCTAGGTAACAGAGGAAGAGACGGCTGCTGGCACGCTTTTGTTATAGGGAATATGTGTGTGCAAGAGGGAGTGCTGTAAACCACCGAATTTATTCAGTCTGCTATTTCCCTAAATTTAATGGCAGATGCGGCGTAAGCCCCTTTCGGGCACAACTGCATCAGGAAGAGCGAGATGCGGCTAATGATAATCAAGTTGCAGACTAACTAGTACGGCAACGCTTTGGCAGCAAGTTTGGGTTGCTCACCTCTTACTAACCTTCATGTCAAAACTCTTAAAAGACCCCCCAGTACCAGCATGCCACGACTCCCGGTTTGTCCCGGGGGGCGGCTGGCGGCCTCGCCCGCAGTCTCTGTCAGCCGCTCCGCTCGCTAGTACCACGAAGGCAGGGCGGCAGCAATTGCATAGTGCACACTCGAGACCAACACCCGAAACACGAGCGGCCCCTGCGCTCCGGCCACCGCTCCAGCGGCCGGCTCGCAGGGGGAAGGGGTCGGCTGGGGGCTGCGGGCAGCAGCGGAGGCAGAGGGGGAGACGCGAGGGGAGAGGGCGCCGGGACGCTGGGTCGGGAAATCCGCGGCCAGAGCGCTTAAAGCCGCTCCGCGCCGAGGGGCCCCGCCGGCCGGATCCCCGGCCGCCGCGGGAGGGCTCGGCTAGAGGCCCGCGGCGGTTCGGCGCGGGGGGCCTGGCCCGGCCCGGCCCGGCGAAGGGGATGGGGAGGGAGGCAGTGATGGAGGGAGGCAGCGATGGGAAGCAGGCAGGGAGGCGTGCGGGAAGGAAGGAATGCTAGAGCCGCGGCAGCAGCGGCACCAAGATGGAGGCGAGCAGCGCCCCGGCCGCCCCGGCGGGCCGACCGGCGTTATCTGCCTGCACGGGGAAGCCGGGCTCGGCGCCCGCATTGTCCTCCGCGTCGTCCCTCCCCTTCTGGCTCGGCTCCTCCTCGTAGTCCTCGTCGTAGTACTCCTCCAGGCCGCCGTCCGAGCCGCCGCTGCTGCCCGCGCCGTTGCCGCCCATGTCGGCGCCGAAGCAGAGGCGGGCCATGTTCTCCTTGACCGACTCGCAGATGGGCCGCTCCAGCCCGTCGCAGACGCAGTCGTTGAGCAGCACGGCCTTAGGCACGGCCAGCATGTCCTCGATGACGGCGCGGCACTCGGGCGTGCAGCGCAGCCCGTTGAACAGCTTCCCGCAGTAGGTCATGTAGCGGTTCAGCGCCAGGCTGCAGCGGCTGTCCCAGTCGCAGCGCCGCCGCGCCTCCGTGCAGCCCATGACGCCGGGGCCGCCGGGGCCGGGGCCGCCGGGGCCGCCGCCCGCGGGGCTGCTGGTGCGGGGCAGGCAGGGCTCGATGGCGCGCTTGGTGGCGCGGCAGTTCTCGTCCTGCGCGCAGTCGCAGTCCTCCAGCGCCGGGCCACGCCGGGTGTGGTTGAGCTGGATGAGCGCCGCGATGCAGTGGCTGGGACACCGCCGCCTGGACGAGGCGGCCGCTCCTGCAGCGCCCGCCGGGCCGTCCCCGCCGCCCGCCGCCGGCGGCTGGTGCTGCAGGAGCACCGGGGCGCACGCCTCGGCGTACTGGTTGTACGCGTAGCTGCACTCGGGCTCCCCCTGACACTGCAGCACCGCCTGCCAGCAGATCAGCCGCCGGCCCTGCACCAGCGAGCCCCGAGGCGGCCACACGGCGCCCAGCGCCGCCGCCAACCACAGCCAGGCGGCCGCCCGCGGCCAGCGCCGGCCGCCGCCGCCGCCTCCGTGCCGAGCGGGCGAGCGGGCCACCATCGCGGACGGGGGTAGTGGCTGCAGCCGCGGGCGAGCTGGAGAGAGGCGCTGGTAGACGAGGAGGAGGAGGAGAAGGAGCTGCCGCCCGTGGAAAAGTTTCCAAAACTCCCGCCGGCCGTGTGCATGAGGTCTCCTCGCATCAATCCATGCGCGCCGGGCCCGGGGCTCTCCAGCCCCCGGGAGCTGAAGTCGGCGGGGCCGCGGTACGAAGCAGGCGCCCGGGGGCCTTCCCGTGTCCCCCACCCGCTGCTCCGGGCTCGGCGAGGCGGCGGCGAAGGCGCCCGGAGAAGTGCGGGGAGTCAGTGCAAAGAGGGGCTCGGACGACAGCGGATCCGTAGTGCGCTCGGGGAATCGCAGGCTGCGCCGGGAGAGCTCATGGTGCTGTACTGCTCTTCATGCAGTTCCGTCTCTCTCTTTTTTTTTTCTCCCCACAAAATAAATGCCCAGCTGCTGTTGCTGCCTCCTCGGGAGCTTTTAACTCTCCGCTCGCAGCATCTCTGCACATGCCAGCCACTCCGATCCCATTCACAGTCCGGGCTCCGCTCACTCCTTCTCGGTACGGATCACGCTTTCGGGTGGCGCGGAGAAGAAATGTCTTTCCCCGCTACCAAGACGAGAGCACGGGGAAAGGAGAAGAGGCAGCCTTCGCGGTCTCTTTCTCTCTGGGCGACTGATGCTGCTTCTGTTGTCAACACGCCCTGCAAGCTGCTCTGTGGATCTGTCTGTGGATCTTTTTTTCTTTGCAAGGCTTTAAATACAAAAGTGCCCTCCGAGCAGCAGCAACGTGCTCTGATTAGACTTCATTATGCATGCATGGAAAAGCAAACAAACAAAAAAAATTAGCAACGCTTCTTCTTTTACACAACCCCCCCACCCTGCGCTTTCTCGCTCTCTTTCTCCCTTTCTCCACTTTTTCTCCCTTCGCTCGGCCCCCTTTCCCTGCCTCGCCACTTGCCATTGGCCCAGCCTGTTGTTGAAACCCCCCTTTCCCCCCCCCCCTCCTTCTCTTTACGATGTGCTGGAGGGAGGGAAGGAGAGAGGGGGGCTGGAGGGCAGCTCACATTCAAAGCTTGAAAGGAAAGGCTTAAGGAGAGTGACAGCCCCCCGAGGAGCCCCTCCTCCCGTTAAGGCGGCGCGGCGGCCGGGCGGGAGGCGCTGAGTGGCGGCGGCGCGGGCCGGCGCTGCGGGACCGGCCGGGCGGCGGCCGCGGGGTGCTCGGCTCTCCGCGCCGGGGTTGCAGGCATGGTACTCTCACTGCTCCGGCTCCCTACAGCAAGGAGGGGAAAATCAAGTTCTCTAGCTCGGGTAACGAGTGTACCCAAACTTCCCGGTGATTTCAAGTGAGGGCAGATCCACTACCAGAACGGTAGAAAGGGTTAGGCTCAAAATGGGATCGACTTTGTTCTTACTGAAATGGAAACAGAGGTCCTGGTTTCAGTGTGCTAGTACTCTCTGGGAGAGCAAAGTTAACTACTAGTGGTGTAGTGCGACCATGTAAGTACTTGTTTGCTGTACTCTCAGTATTACAACTTGCCTCATACTCCACCGATTTAAAAGTCATTCAACTCAGCTTCTCGCCTGAGATTTTCGTGCACGGTTTTAAGACACTGACTTACGAGGGTGCCTGTTGGTAGATCCCAGTACAGTTCTTTAATACTTGATCTGCCAACTAGTAAAAAATTCTAAAAAATTTGTTAGGAATTTTAATTGGAAGCAAAATACCGTGCTGAAGTCTTGCCTTCTTGTTACACTTTCAATTTATAAGGAAGTAGAAACAAAAATATTAAGGCACAAGGAGAGGAGCATAACAAAGTAAGTATTCCTGCATTTACTCACTGCCTTTCGTTTCAGTGCTACCTTAATTCCAGAGCAACATCGTCTCCAACCACAAGGGGCATCGGTATCTGCTGTCTGTCAAAACTGGCGCTTTTTTCATCCTGAGACTATCAACTCCATCTGTCACAGAAATTGGGGCAAAATGTATTTTCCAGAAACTCGGGGATCTTGGAATCCCATGTGGTGTGGAATCATGTCTGTCTCAAAGTGCATAGACTGTGGAATGGTGGTGTGGTGTGGCTAGGAGTCAGTATGATTGATGGGTTGAGAAGCATTCATAAGGGCTCGCTCCATTGTTACCAGTTTTACAATCTGCTTGTGTTTCTCTTTCAGTATAGTTTTTCCTATTCTTGTGTAGAAGCAGTGTTTTTAAATCTGCAAAAGCTTTAAATCTGCAAAAGCTGCCTCCATCCACCTAATTTAGAGCTGTTTATTTTAATTGTTGAATAATGGTATTAAAAGTGCCAGATGCCATTCAGGCAGGTTATAGTAAATGTACATTACTATCTACACTGGGATCATTCATGCATTGCTTTGTTGCCATATTAACTGATCATACCACTGTTATTGGTGGAAATCAGCTGCTTTGGGGTGGCTCGGTTGGATATAACTTTGCAGGTGCTGTTCAACATACTGCTGCACTGACTGGTTCCTAGGGAAGGTGCCCCACGGTGCCATTGGAGGGAAGAGGGCCTGGATGCTGGGATATTCCAGACATAAGAGAGTCTGAGAGAGGGGGTTGCAATGGAGCAGGATCATGGTTTGGGGCCTCCTGAGCTTCCTCAGCACGGGAGAGAGGTGTCCCAGTGGGGCTGCCTTCTACGGACAGCTGGATGATGATCTCTGCCCCCTTCCAGTTCCTGCCTTCATTTGCAAAATCCATCCAGCTCGGCTGTGCTTCATTTCTGGAGCAGAAAGCAGGCTGTTTACTCTGTGAAGGAAGGCAGCAGCTGAACTTCAGGCCTCCCAGGAGGGGGAGTAGAGGAGCCTTCACTGCTGGCCTTGCATCCTTGTATGGCTGGGAAGAAGTTGGTGTGGTGCTGCCGGAGCAGGAAGAGGATCAGTACCTAGAGCTGACTGACTTCCCTCGCTGGACTGTTGAAAGGCAGGGCATGGCATGAAACATCACATTATTCATAGGTAGAAATTTTCCCATACAGCTTTTAGTTAAATAAATGAATATTTTATACAGTGATAATAATAATGGAAATGTTGACTTTGAAGTTTGGAATTATCTTTGGTACTATACAGCTGACAAAAATTTTAACAGAAAATAGGTGGATTCTTCAATTATCACACCTTTTAGCCGTCTAGAATATGATTATCTACATTCAGGATTATATATTGTCAATAAATTAACTTCTTAAAATGGTTTAAAACGTTTTTCTGTCCTGTCTTTATTTAATGAGTGTTTGAATTCTGTCTGTATGTGTAACTACAGTTTTGAATGAGGACTTAAGCACTTACAGTGCTCTGTTGGAGGAAAGAAATGTTTTCTTGTGTGGAGCTAAACCTAGGGAAGCAATTCTCTGGCTCCACTTTGATTCAGGTTTTTAATAACTGGAGTGATACTGTCAAATTCAGCTTTTCAATTTTCAGAGGAGCTATAAAAGTAATGTGGAAGGCAGCTCTTGCTCTGTTTCACAAAGCACCAAATCAGACAATACATTCCACACATTGACAGTAGAATAAGATGTGGTAAATACCCACATTTGCTAGGTTTATCTGTGCTGTCCTTCCTGATCTCAGCAACTGATTTAGTTCTTTATGCCAGCAGTTAAAATTACTACAGAGTAACTGTCGTCCAGCGCTGGTCACACTGGCCAGAAGGCCAATGTGTATGTGCTCTGGATTTATTGGGGAGACTCCTGGGCACCTTTTTGTCTAATCTTGATGTCTTTTCTCCTTTTTTTTTATTTCACACCTTTTCCTAATGGGTCTCCTTTCCAAATCATGTTTTCTTTATCTGTTTCTTTGACCTATTGTGCATCAAGAGTGTTTAGAAAATAAGAAAATCAAGTAGACACCATACCAGTTGACCTTAAAATTTAGAAGTTCACATTCAGTTGAAACTGAAAATATATGCCCAGTATATGTGGTTAATTCCTCTCAAATTATTTTTAAGCACATTTTTAAATGGGCTTATACTGATTTTATTTTTCATTTAAAGAGATTTACAACTGCTATTAAAAATTTCTGGCAGGTGTACTGGGAATTAATTTGCTGATAGGATTTCATTATGTGCATCTGGTAATATCTTAAATATGTTCCTGATAGAGAGCAATTTTTCTTCTTGAAGAAGGGACTTAATTATTTACTAATAGTAGACTTCACTGTCAGTGAAGGGCAGAACTCTGTCAATAGTTCTCAGAGCCTTGGTATAATGGTGCACGAGGGTCATGGTAGGCAGCAAAAGCCCTGCTTCTTACACCAACATTCATCCTGTAGGCATGGCCCAGTGGGGTGTCACTCACAGTAGCCTGTGCAGATGACTGAATATGGATATGTGCATACAGCAGAGTTCTTGGATTTGGTGTAGCTTCAGAGATCATAAATTTTGTCTACATTCTAAAGTTACAAAAGAAAAATGTTGTGACTTACCAGATTTCCAGCACAAACTAGGGGCAGGGGAACAAATATAATGCATTCAGGTGGTGTCTTTTTCAATAGAGAAGAGAGAGTGAAGGCGTCTATATTAGGTTTGTTCTCCACATCTGGAGTAGTTTATCTTTTTATTGTCTCTGCAGGACTGTTTGAGGCATTCATGTCTTAAGTTAGCCACCTAAACTAGGTCAAGTTCTCCCCAAAATAGTAACTTCTTTACTAGAATGTGCATGACTTCCCAATGTCACCCTGCCTTCTCTCCTTGATTTAGTCAGAAAGAAGAATAATGAATAGGGAGGATAGTAAGTAATTGCATTGACCAATAGTTGATTTGAATTCACAGCCGCTGAGACTACTACACTTCATGCTTAGGATCAGTTAGACATTGTTCTATTGGCTGTACATTTTTTACGTTGTCTTTGCCAGCGTTAAGTCTCATGAACATCACAATATTATGGATCCTGCAAATGTGCTGTAATGGTTAACTGCACACCCAGAATCATAGAATGGTTTGGGTTTGCAAGAGAGCTTTAAAGGCCATCTTCTGTGATGACATAAATGTGTTCCTCGTATTACAAAGTCATAACTGCAGGTCCCACAGCAGATGCGCAAATAGTCCATGAAGTATAGGTCTGGTTGCAATAAAAGGAGCCAGATTCACAAATAGCACAGTGCATTGAGTACAAAATATAAGGTTCTTTTGGATTACCAGCGACAATGTATTAACTGCAGAGTAGCTATAATAGCAGTAACAATGTAATCGCAATCACAAGCTTAGTATCAGGGTCAATACTCATCACATCTGAGGATGCAGGGTTTGCCAAAAGGTGTCCCTTCTGGGGAGAGCAAGGAGATCAAATACATCAATCTGTCCGTGCAATTTCACACTGAATTTTCATTCCCTGACTAGATGCAAAATTGGGGTGCATTTTATAACCACTGTTGTGTGAAGTGCTGTGGATGGGACTGTGGTCAAGCCTTTTATTCTTTGTGAGTACATTGTATCGAATATTTCTTTGTAGGAGGTGTATTTGATTTCTACAAAACATTTCTTGGTATCAGGTTGAAGAACAAGACCATGCAGACTACACCTCACTCCACGTTCCCCCCTGTCTCCCCATGCCATGACAACACAAACCACAAGACTTCCACCTGATTTCTGCACCTGCATCACAGGCCCCATTGCATATTGAGCTACACCAACACCTGCCCATGACAGGGGGGTTAGAACTAGAGATGATCTTTAAGGTTCCTTCCCACTCAAAGCACTTTATGATAGGATGTGATCTAATTCCAAACACCATGCAATGAGCAAAGACATCTTCAAGTGTATCAGGTTGCTCAAACCCTCATCCAACCTGACCTTGACTGTTTTCAGGGATGGGGCATCCACGACCTCTCTGAGCAGCTCTTTCATTGTTTTACTGCCCT